TGTAGCCATGCGGGTGATTATGGGTGCAGCTCGTTGTGCCCATGTAACACCTCTCCTACGTGAGCTGCACTGGCTCCCGGTGGTCTTCCGGGTGCGATTCAAGGTGTTAGTTATCACCTTTAAAGCACTCCATGGCTTAGGACCTGGGACCTCACAGGGAGGGACTACTCAGGGTACCATCAGTCAAATTATGCCGACTGGCGACTCCCAGGGGGAGGGCCTTCTCTGTGGGGGCTCCAACCCTTTGGAATGAACTGCCCCCGGAGATACGGAATATCCCTGACCTCCGTGCTTTCCGCCGTGCCCTCAAAACCCTGATGTTCCAACAAGCAGGGCTAAACATATGAACATGTGAATGTTTTTAAAATGTTATCTAATTTTAGGTTTTATTTAATTGGGCCAAACTATGTTATAATAATACTTTTAATTAGCAATTTTATGATGTTTGCGTATCTATATTTTTCTTGACTGTACACCGCCTTGAGTCCTATGGGAGAAAGGTGGTATAGAAATATAATAAATAAATAAATAAATATTCCAGTTTTCTTTCTCCAATCTGTCATACTTTCTTTCTTTCTTTTTTCTTTTCAGTTCCAATATCAATAAAGTTATAAAGACTAAAGAATTTAGTTCTTTTGTATTCCATATACGGTATCATCATGTCTTCTTGTGGGGCTCCGCCCTTCCCTTATGGTAGAACACCATTAATCAGCGATTTTAATTGTTCCAACTAATTTCTTCTTTCCAACTATCCATAAGTAGTCCAAAGACAGTTTAAGTACATCTAAAATCAAGCCTCCTTAATTTTTCCTCAAAATAATCCAATTCTGAAAGGAAGAGACAAAGTTTCTTCTTTAAACAGCAAACTTTCCACAGTTGCAGTTTGCACTTTCACTCTCTCAGCCATTTTAACTTCCTCCGCTTGTTATTCTCATAGCTTTAAAAAAAACATTCTGCTTGTTTCCTCTTCTCCTTCTTCCCCTTCCAAGCTAATCCATTCTCATTAAAGACCAAGAAAATATCAAATTTTAAATCCATCCAAAGGGATGTTAAATTCCAAAAGCAGTCAATTGGTGCTATTGTCCTTTAATGGGTCTTTTCCTTGTTAATTGTTTAAATTCTTTGCCCAAATAGTTCTTAGCTGCTGTTAGAGCCAGGGCATTATTAGTATTTAAATGTTTGAAGACTGTTCTCGCCTGGGCTAATCCTATTCACCCGGCATTCAAACATCTTGCTCCTGTGTCTCCTCCTGCACTTTGCTTGTCCCGGCTGCCGAAGCTTTGGGGCAGCCACCATGGCTGCCTCTCCCACCACCGCCGGCGCAGAGGGCAATCCTCCAGCCCCGAGGAACCTGCCCGTTCCTCTCGGCCATCCAAGGGGTCCCTCTCTAATCCCCTGTCCCTCTAGGACAGGGTAGGCCTGTAGACCTGCCAGCGGTGGCTTAAAAGACGGGGTTTTCACGGGGCTCCAAAGAGTCCCGCTATTTTCCCGTCAGCTCGCCGCAGCGCCAACCGGAAGTGTCCCCGATTCTTGAAGTCGCCTTCCTCCTGGCAATTACATCGGCCAGGAGAATCTCTGAACTGGTGGCCCTGTCCATTAGAAAGGACCTCTGTTTTTTCCATTCAAACAGAGTTGTACTGCAATTGGATCCCTCCTTTCTGCCCAAGGTGAACTCTTGGTTTCACCATGCCCAAGAGCTCATTCTCCCGAATTTCTGTCCAGCTCCTCACCATCCGCTGGAAGAACAATGACACACCTTGGATGTGAGGAGGGCCCTCTGCAAGTACATTAAGATGATGTCTTCATTTTGACATACAGAAGCCCTTTTTGTATCCTTTCACCCTTCGTCAATGGGCAGGAAAGTTTCTTCTTCTACGGTGGGCAGATGGCATGTATTTCAAAGGCATATGAACTCAAGGCTAAACCTATGCCTGGATGGATTTTGCCACATTCTACTCGCAGCGCTGCAACCTCTGCTGCATGGGCTACCCAGGCTTCCATCAGCAACATTTATAGGGCGGGCATTTGGTCGTTGTTATCACCATTCATAAGACACTACAAAATAGACAGGTGTGCCTCGGCTGAGGCGTCCTTTGGCCGATGGGTGTTGCAGAGTGTACACTCCACCCAGGACCTAGGAATCAGCCAACCTCCCGCCCAGGGTCCTTCAGCTTGGGTATGTCCCATGCATGGATTATCCGAACAGTGCTCTGGAAAATGGGTGTTGTCTTACCTGAACGTCCATTTTCGGGACACTGTGAAGATAATCCACCCCACCCTTTAGGCATCCTGATCTTGGCCAAGGTAGGTTTTCTTTGTCTCCTTTCTGCAGATTCTCTGGTGGACCGCTCCTTCGTGGAAAAAGACTAAAGTTCAACGAGCAAGGAGGCGTGGCTAAACACTTTGAAAAAAATCTAAACTCAGTCTCTGGCAAATAGACAAGTGATGACCCATGCATGGATTATCCACACAGCACCCCGAAAATGGACATTCAGGTAAGACAATGTCCGTTTTGCTATATTGTTATCAAAGAATGACTTCATATACTGTATTTTTCGGAGTATAAGATACACTTTCCCCCTCCCCTAAAAGAAGGTGAAAATTTGGGGGCATCTTATACACCGAATGTAGCACCGTCCACCCGCCAGCCCCCACCCTTCGGCCTCTCAAAAAGCTTTTGGAGCTTTTGGAGGCTGCAAATGCAGCCTCCCAACAGAGAGCCTCTCAAGCAGCCTCCAAAAGCTCCGTTTGCAAAGGAACTTGTTAAGGATATTATTGGGTTACCAACCAGCAGAGTAAGTGCACAGAGAAACGGTACTGAGAGCAATGAATACAATACATACAAACTGGTTTAACAAAGCTTTTACTTTGTAGTGAAAAACAATTGCATAGTCTTTTAGTCAATCCAAGTCTTTAGCCATTCAAATCAGTCCGGAGTTACAGATATCTTCTTACCATACAAAAAGCAGTAGGTAATAAACAGCAATTCAATGCTGGTAACAAATCATGATGGTAGCAGATCCACCCACTTCTTCACACACAACGGTAACAGTTCCAACTGACAAGTCAAGCAGCAAGTCAAGAAACAATGATTATAGCTCGGCTCTCTCCTTATATACAGTTTACACTAGTAATTATCCACTTAAGATAAGTGGAGTCAGCAGTGCAATAACTCAACAGTACAATTAGGATAATTGCAGTCAGCAGTCAGCCAGCAGTCAATTACAATGACTCATCAGTACAATTACTCAGCATTACATCTTAAAGTTACAGAATACATTTAAAGTTATAGCACACATATATTGCCTGGACAACTTGTTAGGCTTACACCATATCCTAACAGAACTTCTCTTTGCAAAGGCAGCCTCTCAGACCGAGCTTTCGGAGGGTGAAAAAGCAAGGCACAGAGGCCAACATGGCAACCCAGAACAGCTGCTGCCTTGCTGAACTGGTTCTGTGCTTCCCCTGCTGTACACACTGGAGCACTCTGCAACAATTAGCTGCATTTTTGAAGCTGCATATCTGCTCCAACGAGGCTCGTGCGTGCTCACAACTAGTTAGTTAGTTAGTTAGTTTATTATATTTATATACCGCCCCCTCTCCCGAGGGACTCGGGGCGGTGAACAGCCAGCAAATAAAATACACAGATACAAAATTTAAAACAATATTAAAATCCAATTAAATCAATTTGGCCCATAGTTAAAAACCCTATATTAAAACCCCTAATTTTTAAAACGATTCTTTTTAAAAAGAATAGGTCAGGCCAGCCCGGCTTGATGAAACAAAAACGTCTTTAGGGCAGTTTGGAAAGCACGAAGGTCAGGGATCCGCCGTATCTCTGGGGGCAACTCGTTCCAGAGGGTAGGTGCCCCCATAGAGAATGCTCTCCCCCTGGGGGCCACCAGCCGGCATTGTCTAGCTGACGGCACCTTGAGGAGGCCCTCTCTGTGGGAGCGTACTGGTCGGTGGGAGGCTACCGGTGGCAGAAGACAGTCTTGTAAGTACCCGGGTCCTAAGCCATGGAGCGCTCTAAAGGTGGTAACCAATACCTTGAAGCGCACCCGGAAGACCACCAGGAGCCAGTGCAGCTCGCGCAGGAGAGGTGTTACATGGGAGCGCCGAGTCGCCCCCATAACCACCCACATCGTCGGATTCTGGACCAGTTGGAGCCTCTGGGTGCTCTTCAAGGGTAGCCCATGTAGAGAGCATTACAGTAGTCCAGGTGGGACGTGACGAGGGCATGAGTGACTGTGCGTAAGGCATCCCGATCCAGAAAGGGCCGCAACTGGTGAATCAGGCAAACCTGATAGAAGGCCCCCCTGGCCACAGCTGTCATATGTTCTTCTAAGGACAGCCGTGAATCCAGGAGGATGCCCAAGTTGCGAGCCCTCTCTGTGGGGGCCAGCGATTCGCCCCCAAAAGTCAATGCTGGTACCAACTGACTATATCGGGATGCCGGAAGCCACAGCCACTTGGTCTTGGACGGGTTGAGCCTGAGCCTGTTTCTCCCCATCCAGTGAACCTGTTGCTAAAGTTCACCTCTGGGAACAGCTGATTGGGGTTATTCCGGGAGGCAATCCACCCGCCAATCAGCTGCTCGTGCTGAATTAGGCTAATGTGCTGAAGCTGACCTTGCTCTTTGCTGCAAGGCTGCTAGCTAGATGAATACCAATGGATGCTAGTAGGTAGAGGCAGATTTTTTTTCTTATTTTCCTCCCCCCAAAATAAGGTGCGTCTTATACTCCAAAAAATATGGTATTTCAGATTTGCCATCAGAATTTCTGCGTTCAAATTTTGATACCTCTTTTATGTAAAAGGTAAATACTGTATTAGAATTGTATTTGGAGTTCCTGCATTTTACATGTTATATTCCATATGTTTATATTTGCTTATTTTTATGACAGATGAAACAGCCATAATATAGAATCATACTAATTAGTAATTCAAGATAATTACAGCATTCACTCCTCTTTTTCTGTTTGACATTGCTTCTTTTCTAGGTTGCACAACTTTATACAAAATAAATAAAAATATTCCAGCAATCTTAAAGAACAGAAAGTTGAGCTTGTAATACTCTAGAGTGAGTTTCATGGTCCATCTTTGAATAAGAATGGATATTCACAGCATCTCTGGAAAACAAATACATTTGGTTCTTTTCTTATGCCAAATTATTACTGCATTGGATGTACCTCTTGATTGTAAGTACTAACAATTCACTATTTATGGAAAGATGCTGATTGAACAGATTGTTGTAAACAAATATCTTGATAACCTAGAATAAATCTATATAACAATATAGCATTGCAAAGAATGTGTGTGTACATACTCAAACACACATTTTCATTCCCCTTAGTTGCAGGAAATTCTTGTTCATTATAAAAGTTTATTTTTCCTTTTTACCCCAAATGTTCCATTAATAAATTACCTTGTTAACATTTGCTATCTCAGCATGTAGAATATATCCAAAATAAACAATTAGCATTTTGATTACCTTAGCACTCATAACCTAGGGTCATGGAAGGCCCCCATTTTTAGTGACTTAACAGTGAAAATTTATTTATTTATTTAGCGTATGATTGGTCACACACAGTATTAAAACACTTCATTTTTACAGGTTAAAAACAATTAAAACAATAAAAAAGCAGTAAAAAACAGTGAAAAGAAGTATATTTAACAGAGTACAATTGAAAATATTTGAAAGGCAATAATTACTGAGATTAGAAAAAAAGGCTATATTCTAAAAATAATCAACAATACACACCAACTAGAACAAGAACAGAAATAGAGCCATTAAAATCTACTCTGGTTTTACATGCAGTTCATATAATTATCTAAAGTACTTATAACCCACTGTTTATAGTATTTAGAATCCACTGTTCTATTTCAAAGGCTATCAGAAGAGAGTAGTAAAACGTACAATTTTGGCTGAAGTTTATATTTTTATCACTTAGCAAGAATTTATTTTTTAAGCCTATGACTTAAATATAGAATTATAATTTCCAGTGTAACATGAACTAATGGTTCTCGCTAAAATATTAATGAGGAATTCCTGTATTCAAACAGATGGTAATGAAATGGCACAATTAACAACAGGGCATTCCATCTCTGTTACTTATTCTTCCATTTAGTTCTGTATATTGATTGCTTTTTGTTTGCAGTTGACAAATTATGCCATCCACTAATTCCATTTCCATAATAGCCAAGGGTATATGTAACAATGCTAATTATTCCATATAAGTTAGGAATAATATTTATAATTGACAATGCAACATTAAACAAAAGTTCCAAATGCTTTGTGCGAAAACTATGTGATTCTTCGCTGATAAAGTGACTTTGGTATCTGTTGTCAGAAAAGATCTATAGTATGAATGCCTGTACTTTCCCTGTATCTTTTCTTTCTAGAATTTCATTACTTCTATCTTACTAACAAATAATTTTCTTTAATTCATGTTTACAATTCACTTCCTGAATCTGATACATGGAAAAAAGCAAAACTTCTTGAAGAATGTAAGTTCTGCCCATAAGCCTACACCTACACCAAAAATTCTGTGTGACTTAATACAATTTTTAAGTGCTGAAACAATTTTATTGTGTTTTTTAATATTCTGTACAGATGATAGTTTATAGAAACTATACACAAGAAAAAAATTGGCATGAATTTAAATATTGGTCAAATATTTATTTTTAATATTTAAAAGATACCATGTTTTCCCGAAAATACAACCTACCCTGAAAACAAGCCCTAGCCCGATTTTTACATCTGCACCTAAAATAAGCCCTCCCCCCCCAAAATAAGGCCTAGTTAAGTCCTACTGACCATTTGGTTGTACAAGGTGGGGCAAGGCACAGTTGTAAAAACCAAGCTAGGGTCAGGGTGGGGGGGATGTAGGATGAAAGGAGGTGGTGGCAGCATGGTAGCTTCTGGTGCTAATATGGCTGCCACATGCACTCCGCGTCGGCTTATCTGAGGGCCCCGCAGCCGGGCCATCAATGTCCTGACAACTACCTGGTCTCATGGCGATGGCTCCATCTAGGATCCCACATGGCCGCCGGCCCGCTTCTCCTTGCTCACATCCGCAATGGAGCAGGAGGCTGAGTGACACATATGAGGAGGAGGAGCGGGGAGAAGAGAGAGAGAGAGAGAGAGAGAGAGAGAGAGAGAATGGTGACTGGTATAAACTGTTACCTTAGTTAAATTGTCTTAAATTTTATATGTAGAAAAAATAGTTTTACATGCATTAGAATGCAGTTCTACAGTCATATAATCAGTGGTGGATTTCAAAAATTTTTTTACTATCAGTTCTGTGGGTGTGGCTTGGTGGGCATGGCATGGCTTGGTGGGTGTGGCTTGGTGGGCATGGCAGGGGAAGGATACTGTAAAATCTCCATTCCCATCCCACTCCAGGGGAAGGATACTGTAAAAGCTCCATTCCTCCCTACTCCAGGGGAAGGTTACTGCAAAATCCCCATTTCCTCCTGATCAGCTGGGACTTGGGAGGCAGAGAATAGATGGGAGCAGGATTAGTCAGAATTTTTACTACCGGTTCTCAGAACTATTCAAAATTTCCGCTACCAGTTCTCCAGAACTAGTCAAAACCTGCTGAAACCCCCCTCTGCATGTAATGATTATGTTCTTTTGAGAAGAGCTTCCCTTGTGGGTTTAAGTATGATTTCAATATATTAAATGTTTGTAATTAACTTTACTATTATTTAACCAGTTTAGAGATATAGTTAATTCGTAGGATTAAGATTGAGGGGATTCAGGTTCAAGCCCATCTTTAGCTTCCTAGGTAACTTTGGCCTAGTCACTTTCTCTCAACCAACTCACATCACAGGGTTGTTCTTGTGGATATAGCTAGGGAAGGAAGTATTCTGTTTGCCACCTTGAGCTCTTGAAGGGAAAGAGGAATTTAAAACCAGTGAATAAAAATGTATTTTTCCATTTTCTTTTTGATCACTTTCTCTAAAAAGTGTCACAGCCTCCAACAATAACACAGCAGTCTCCAAAAGATTATATTGTTGACCCAAGAGAGAATATTGTAATACAGTGTGAAGCAAAAGGAAAACCATCTCCTACGTAAGTCCTAGATTTGTATTCATTCATTGGTTTGTATAATATATCATACAGCCAAAGAAAAACATTATTGTTAAGTGATTATTGGATTGATTGTCTTGTATACATAAGTTTATTGTTTTTTTTATAATGCAATCTTACATATGCCTGAAAAAGGTAGGTTTGGATAATCAGGTTTTCCCTCATTCCCATAACTGCAGCCTTAATATCTAAATTTTATGAAGGTGATCCAATAATTTACAGACAAAAGGTTAGTTTGATTCCAGATCAAAACACATCATGTAAATACTTAACTGGTGTTTTTAAATGGTTCTTTCAGAAGCTTGTCTCTGAAATTATTTCATTTTGATATTACTTCCTTTAAAAATATTTCCTACATTTCACTTTGCCTATGCCACAAAGAGCTATTAGACTCTCTCCTTTGCTGTCATCTTCTGCTGTGCTTTCAAGAGGGGTGGGCAGGGGAAAGGAAAGGAACAATAACATTGTTGGAATACTATGGAAAATGTGTGTGTGTGTGTGCATGTGCGCATGTGCATGCATCAGTGTGTGTGTGTGTGTGTGTGTGTGTGTGTGTGTGTGTGTGTGTGTACAAGAACTCGCTTTATATGTTCAATGCCTAGCTCCCGTCAGATTCAGAAGTACTATGCAATGTTCAGGGTACTTGTTTCTTAATGATTTGTATTTTAAATAATTAACCTTCGTAACCAGAACCGTTGCTAAGAAGCTCCTTATTTATACCCAGATCTAAGTGGCCAAAGTAGTTGTGGTCTAACTAAATATATTAATGGGATATTGTATCTGCTGAATTCTTATATTCCATTTTCAGAAGGGGAGGGGATGGTTGAACTTATCATTTGATTCAATAGGTTGGACTAAGCTTGATCAAATTTGGTGGTATCACTATATGTATCATCCTGCTCTGATTGAATGTGCTGTTAACTCATCTAAAATTTATCTCTGCTCAATCATATCTGGGATTCCAGCATTGAGAACATGCTTTTTTAAGTTGTGCTATAATTTAGAGCAAATAAGCATAAACTCAAGTACATCTTAATGATTTGGCTGCTGTATATGGAGAAAGCAGTTAATCAGGTCATACTGTATACTGTCCTATATATCAAAATAATTACACAACATGAGCAGTATTTTTAATTTTACTTTGTTAAAAATATAGTGTGCAAAAAAAAAAAATTCAAAGGTTTTCCATTTCACAATCTATAAATAGCAGACAGTAAGGAGTGATTCTACTTACTTTAAAAATAAAGGAGTTAAGAAAATATAACTTCCTAATTAGAGTGGATACATTACAAATGTCAATGGAGAAGACAAAGAAGTTCTGAAAGGAACATATGAATTCCAGGAAAAAAGATTGATACCTTAGTAAAAAATCACAAAGTTTCTGAAGAGGCAAACTATTGTAATAATAATAAGAATATAACACATTTCTTAAGAATTTTTACTCTAACTATTTCTGATATATATGAACCAGTTTATAAGCCTTCAATATATGGAAATCTGTGCATGGCCCATAATTGACTTTTTTGTTACTGGAGAAAATTAAAAGAAAATTAAAAAGGATTTAATAAAAAATTAAAATAGAGATAAGTGTTTTAAGAAAATTTGCTTGTCACATTTTTAACTGGCTCTCCAAATACTACTATTACTACTACTACTACTACTACTACTACTACTACTACTACTACTACTACTACTATAACGTTTATGTTTATATTATTATAACTTGTACATTTGCTTAAAACAAGTGTTTTTTTTAATAAAAAAAGAATTTTTTCAGTGTTTTTATTTTATTGATAGCTTTTCATGGACACGTAATGGAACTCACTTTGAAATAGATAAAGATCCACGAATAAGAATGAAGCCTCATTCAGGAACTCTTTTAATAAATATTATTAATGAAGAAAATGGAGGAAAAGCAGAATTATATGAAGGTGTTTATCAGTGTACAGCAAGGAATGTGCTTGGAGCAGCAATTTCCAATAATATTGTTATAAGAGCATCCCGTAAGTTTAATATTAATGAAACTTTAATTTCTTCTCAGTTCTTGCAAATAGTTTTCCCTCTATGTTTGAAATCCTTGCTTTTGTGTAACAGGTTATATCACTCAGCAAAATCAAATTCCTACATAAGAAGGAATATTGTTCTGTTTGTTAACTTGTATTTAAAAATTAAATATAATTTTCATTTTGTCTGATATTTATGCTATATTATAGTATTTTCCTTTCCTGGTTGTTTCTTTTAAGTCTAAGACTAAATGACAGTATTTTTTTCCATGTAGGATCTCCTTTGTGGACTAAAGAAAAGCTAGTTCCAGTAAGAGTTATTGAAGGTCAATATGCAATTCTTCCCTGCAGGCCACCAGTAGGGTTACCACCACCTATAATATTTTGGATGGATAACTGTAAGTTACATTTGAAACCCATATGCAACTACAAAACTATAATTATATTTTCAGTTTTTTTATTTCTGATGATCCATGGATTATAGCAATAAGATGTATGGGAGAGGTTTCTTTTATTATTTTACACATCAGTTGCAATTCAGATTCATTGGGAATTCAATTTGTCGCAGGCTTATAATAACTTGGACTGCAAAATAATTGTTAAGTCCTGATCCTTCAACAAAGGGAAATCTTATATTGTGGGTGTAAGGGTCTGCCTCTACTCTCCGTTCAAGAAAGCAGAACTCTTGAAACAATTAACATTTCAAAAGGAACCCTTTATTGAAAGAAAGGGATTGCAAGACAGAAGAAGCAGGATCTGAGGTTTCCCCATGCAATTCAATTAGGATAAAGCAGTTAGAAACCCCTCCCCTCATTTCGATGTTGAATGAGCCAATCCACAGGTGTGAAGTTGTTTTTAGAATCTCAGACTGAGAAGATGATAAGAAGCTGTTCTCAGGGGTCTCTCCCCCCTTACATTCCCAAGAAGGTAAATCAAAGTACAGGATACATAGACATCAGGAAAAAGGCTATAAATGAAGGAATGCACCCAGGCCCCCTCCCCACCAGAATGGCAATGTCCCAATAGGGATCTATGGGACCTGACATGTTGCCTCCCTAGGAATAGGAGAAATCCACCTGAAAAATAAGCACAAAGAGAAAACAGAGCAGTGAGTTATTTGGGTTTCTCGGGATACTGTAAATGGAACTTTCTCAGTAAGTTGGGGGCTCTAACATGTTTTTTAGCAATCCACTCATTCTGAGAGGGGGGCAGGTGTTTCCAAGTAACTAAGTATTGTGTGGTGTCATGGTGTGTGCGTGAATCCAGGATGTCCTTAATTTCGAAGTGTTGCTCACCCTCAATCATGATAGGAGTAGGTGGAATGTCTACTGGTGATCTCAGTGGGGAGGTAATTTTGGGTTTTAATAGACTGCAATGAAATACTGGGTGGAGGGTTTTGAGCAGACCTGAGGGTTTTAGGGAGCAGTAATTCAACCGTTACGGGGTTGATGATTTGAGTGATAGGAAAGGGTCCTATGAACTTTGGTCCCAACTTTTTAGAGAGCTGCAAGGATAGTAGGAATCCAGTGGATAAGTACACCCTATCCCCTACTTTAAATGGCTTGGGCTCCATCCTCTTTTTACCCACTTGTGATTAAAAGCGGCTCTAGCATCGCTTAGAGCTTTTCTTACCACTGGCCAGGTGTTTTGTAGTTGATGTATTCACTCCTTAAGTAAATGAAAGTATGCACCCAGGCCCCCTCCCCACCAGAATGGCAACATCCCAATAGGGATCTATGGGACCTGACAGTGGAAGTATTAAAAAGTGGATAGCTCTACCAGTCATACAAATGAGGGGTCCTGAGCTTGCTTGTTTGCTGCAGATGTTTCATTATCCAAACTAGGAAACATCATTAGTGCTAGTAAGGAATGCTGTTTGTGGCCTGTGTATGTTCTTATGGCTTGCCCTGTCAGTGTGGTGGTGGGGTGATCTGAGAAATTCTTGGTTGGGCTGTTTACTGTTGGCTCTTTGGCAGTTTCTTGATTGGGATATTATTTAGTTGATTTTTGGTCTGATGTTAATCTTGGAGTTAATCTATGCTGATCTGGGTACTAATTGCTGATGGAGAGGTCCTTGGGTCTTTTTGTTCTTTTTTTTGGGCTGGGTAATAGTCTCTTTTGCATAGTCTATAGATCAGGGACCTGCAGCCTTAAACACTCAAAGAGCCATTTGGATCCGTTTCCCACAGAAAAGAAAACACTTGTAGCCACAAAACCTGGGTGGACGTGGCCAACCCGACATCACTCACTCCCACCCAGTCACATGACACCTCCCAGCTATACCTACCCAGGTTTTGTGGCTCCCGGTCTTTTCTGTGTGAAACAGGTATCTCTCTCTCTCTCTCTCTGTGCCTCTCTCTGTGTATGTCTCTCTGTCTCTGTCTCTTTCTCTCTCTCTCTATCCCTCTCTTTCTCTCTCTCTCTCTCTCTCTCTCTCTCTCTCTCTCTCTCTCTCTCTCTCTCTCATGTGTGTGTGTGTGTGTGTGTGTGTGTGTGTGTGTGTGTTCCCTCTTGAACCATTTCCAAGAACAGGCAAGGGTTGGGTTTTTTCTTTTTTTTCTTTTTTTTTCTTTTTTTTAATTTGATTTATATGCCGCCCTTCTCCGAAGACTCAGGGCGGCTTACAATGTGCTCAGCAATAGCCTTCATCCTTTTGTATATTTATACAAAGTCAGCTTATTGCCCCCACAACTGGGTCCTCAATTTACCTACCTTAGAAAGGATGGAAGGCTGAGTCAACCTTGAGCATTGGCGAGATTCGAACCCTGCAGTAATTGCAGGCAGCTGGTCTTAATAACCAGCTTAATAACAGGGTGCCTTAAACCCCTGTACTACCAAGGCTCTTTTTTTGTTGATGTTGTTCTTTCTTCTTCTTTGGGTGCTTTTTACCATATGATCCAAATCAAGAGTCATTTCAGGTTCCCAGATAAATGAATCTCTTTCGCCCCCCTGCTTTAACTCCCTGTTGGCTGAACCCACGACTGGCTGGCCCCGCCTCTCGCCCTCCCCTTCCAGTCACTTTAGCACAATTTAGCACACTTCACAATGGGGGAGACGGCATCGCCTCTTCCTCCTGGAGCCCAGTACGATGCAGAGCATCATTGCAGGCAGTGTCTCAGTGTGGAGGGCAAGTCACGTGTCTCCCCGAGCAACCCAGGTGCATGCAGCACCAACAAGGACCAGAAGAAGCACCCACGAGATGAGGCAAGTACAGGGGCGCTTCGCTCAGACTCTGGAATATGGAGCGAGGGGTGGGGCCAGCCAGTGGTGTGACAAGTAGCCAAAGCAAGCGGACAAAAGAGCCACATGCAGCTCCGGAGCTGTGGGTTGCCAACACCCGGTATAGATGTTATTAATGTCTATGTATCTATTGATGGCTGATTTGTCAGAGTGCCAGGCTTCCTAAGAATTCCCTGACATTTTTGGACTTGGCTTGGTCTAGAATAGTCACATTTTCCCAATTGAAACTATGGTTAAATCTGTCTACATGTTGTAAAATTAAAGAATTTTCATCTTGTCTTCTGACTGCTAGTTGATGTTTGTGGATGCATTCTGCCAGTCTTCTGACTATTTGTCCTACATAGTGGTTGTTGGAGTCCTTACATTGTATGTTGTAGAATAAATGATACCTGTTTTTTCTTCAGGGGTTGTTGGGTCTTTTGGTGTGCTTAGGTCAGGATGTTTTGAAGGGCTTTAGTTGGCTTGTCTGCTATGCTGATTCCATGTGGTTGTAGGAGTCGATTGGGGATTTCTGAGATATTCTTGATGTATGGCAGTGTAATTCTTTTTATAATTTGTTTTGGTTGTGCTGTATTGGGTTGAGTGATCAGGGACTTGTTGATAAAGTTGTGTGGGTATTAATTTTGTTGGAATATGTTGTATAGATACTGTCTTTCCTTTTTCTGCTGTTCCGTGTTGCTGCAATGTGTTTGGGATCATTTAAATAAAGTCCTTAGGTAGCTTCTCTTGTGGGAGGTTGGGTTGTTGTTTTGGTAGTGGAGCACTGGTTAGTATGGGTGGTTTTTCTGTAGACTTGCATTTCTAGTTTGCCATTGTGACCTCTGCTGATCAGGATATCCAGGAAGGGTAGCAAGTTCTTGTATTCTTTTTCTCTAGTAAACTGGATTCCTTTAAAAATGTTGTTGATGGTTCTGTGGGTGTTCTCTAATTGGTCTTTTTTTATTATAGTGAAGGTGTCATCTACATATCTGATCCATATTTATGGTTTTATTTGTGGAGGTGCTATGGCTTCTTGACATTGCATGATGACCCCCGCTATAAGTTCTAAAAGCGGTGATCCCATAGGTGTCCCTTTAATTTATTGGTAAATTTGTCCATCAAATTGGAAATACATAGTTAAGCAGAAGTTTATGAGATCCTGGGTGTTTCAATCTTCGTGTATTTGGTTAAGTCAGATGTGCTGTGGAACAATGCTGTCATGGATTCTTTGGCTAATTCTGGATCTTTAGACATGAACAGGGCTGTGACATCAAATGAGACCATGATTTCATCCTCATTTATAGTCACATCCCTGATTGTTTGAAGACACTGTGGTGGAGAGTTAACGGAACATTTGCTTCCTCTTGTAAGGTGCCCAAGCTTTTTTGTTAATTCTTTGCAATGTTGTATGTAGTGGTCCCTGGTAGTGATATGATTGGATGGAGGGGTATTGTTGTGGCCCGCCAGCGGCCTGCACGGATTGTGGCTGATCCCAACAAAGAGGAGGCTGGTGTGATGTCGCGCCAGCAGCCTGTGCAGCCGGTGCTCGAGTCGGACAGCGAGGAGGCTAAAGAGGATGTGGTGCCAGAGGCAGAGACTCAGTCAGGGCCTTCAGAACCTCCAGAGGCTCCTTCAAGTGAAGAGAGTGAAGTGGAGGAGCCTCTTCTCAATGCTCGAGCACGCAGGGCTGCCAAAAGGCAGGAGTGGCTACTCAGGAGGAGGTCTCCTCGAGAGTAAAGTTTGGGGCTAATTGGCCACTCCCTTAGCCTATTTAAGTTTGCTCACAGATAGCAAACGCTGCTGGAAACAACGTTTAATTACTATGCAGAGCATTTTGAGAGTGAGTTTCTTGTTACATCGTGGTTTCTGGGATGGTTGCCAACCCTTGTCAGACTTTGTTTATTCTCTGTAATTCATGGCAGGCTGATAAGGATATTTGCACTGAAAGCCTGCATTTTGAAAGGGGTCTCTTTGTATTAAACAGAGTTTTTGGAGCTTTCTATGTGTCACACTCCTTGGGATCCGGAGCTGGGGCAGAACAGGTATGTGTATTTTGGGGCATCTGTAGAAGATTGGGAGAATGGGTCCACTGCTTCTCATCCACCACTGTTCCTCTTTCATAATTTGGCCTTTCTTAGTGAGGTCACTGAGGGTTCTCTTGATGTGGTTGTTTAGTTTT